AATTTTATTTGACTTACTATTTTATAAATAACCAATAAAAACAAAACAAAACTACATCTATATATTTTTTATTTATATATTTAATAATTACAATTATTTTAAAAATTTTGCTACAATTGAATATAAAAATATTTTTTATTTAATAAATAGGTATGTATATATGCAGTATATATATTAACAATTAATCAATAAATCTATCTTAAAAACAAATTACAAAATTTAAAAGAGTGGTTTGACTATTTATAAATCGTCACATAAAAAATAGTTTTTTACTATTAAATAAAAGTACATATATTTTTTCTAATCATTATTTAATTAACTCTTTTAATAAAATATAAAAATAATTTAAAAACTCTTTTTTTTCAGATATTCATCATTTGAATAATGTTATTATAATAAAATAGAAAATATCTTTAATTTTAAATTTTTAAATAATATATATATTATATTGCATTGTATTATATTATTAATTAGTTATTAAATTATAAGCTTAAATAAAAATTCAAAAACAAATAATATATAATTTTAAAAATATGATAAAAATGATCTCATATTTTAGTAAAATTTGTATTGAAAATTGGATTTTCTTATTAAAACTTTAAATTTTTTAATAATTAAATAAAATCCAGTAACAAGTTTATCATTAATAATTCTAGCGGTATATTATGCTGTATATTATATGATTATTAAACATTAATAATTATTATTTTTTATAAAGTTTATTATAAATTACATTATAAACTTTATTTCATAAAAGTATTTACAATCGTTTAAATTATTTTTATAATAAATTAATTATGAAACATCAATTTATAATTAGATTTTACTTAATTTTTAATGTTTTTTTAATACCAAGTATTTAAATTAAAAAAATGAATTTTTAGTTCAATATATATACTGTATACAGTATATCGTATAAAAATTATCGAAATCATAATTTTAATTCTTTATTGAAATAAATCTTATGCTTAATTAATAAGTATTTTAACAATTAAAATTTTATCGATATTAAAATTTTTAAGAGTGACAAGAAATTTAAGATTTACAAAATTTTAGTAAGTACGACTTTTGAATTTTATTTGTTTTCCAAGTTTCTTGATTTTATGGTTTAAATTGAACATAATTACATTTTATAAAATTGAACTGTAATGAAAATAGATTGCAAAAATTACTGTAGATTTTTAAATCCAATTTTATAGCATTTATATATTTTAATTGCTGTCATATGACCGCTATAGATAAAAAATAATTTTTTCTTTAATTAAAAGGCGTTCATCTCGTAAAAATTTGGATATTTCTTTCTTCTTTTTATCATCTAACGCAAATTACGTGGCGTTGCTGGTTAAAAAAAGTGCGTTTATTCTTCTCAGCCAGCCATAAGATGCAAAAAGAAGAATATATAATAAGATTTAGAATATATCAGTTATCTAATATTTTTCAAATTCGGCACGGAAGTTTTGTGCAGAACCATGAAAATATCAGACCATGTAAAAGAAAAACGCCATGACCATTTTTATTCGAACCAATGTCCTTGTCAGGATTAGACCATGAAACGTAGGGTGTAAAATAATTGATAAATGCAAAATACCAACGAATAACAATATTAACTGTGTAAGCAACATAAACCAATACAGTAAGTTGAATAATGAGCTAAACGAACTCGGCTAACCCGAATTCTTCGCAATTCAAGTTTCAAGCAAGTTCTATATACATGTTCTGTGTACCATAAGTAAAAGTTGAGATTAGCTATAACCTTTGCTCGAAAAATCCGATATAAATGCGTCTGTATCAATGATTTATCAATTGCAGTATTTAAATTTTGATAATTATATAAGCAACTGTTGAATATAGTATGAGAAAGTATGGTTTTTATGACGTGCTTATGACTAAGAGTTTTGAGTTTTAAACGTTTTATCGATATACTGTGCATTGTACAACTGTCCATTTGGTCTATCACAGTAAATTTCATACTGTACGCATACACAATGTCGTGTAAAAGGGCGGAATTTAAACCTTTGAAAACTTAACAAATAAGTAAACTTGTCATCATAAACCTTGGTTCTAAAAAAAGTCATCTTTGAAAGTGCACCATATACAGTATATATTGACACTGTTTATTTGTGTTTATTAATTAATCGATTTTTTTTTGTTAAAATTGATACTGTAACCCAATTGTATACCAAGATTTTCGGGTAATTATATTTCGAATGTGTGTAATCAAGGTTAACATGTATGCCTGGTTTAACAAACCGAAATATACAAAGTGAAATCGACTAAATGTAGTCTTTAATTTTATTGATTAGATTTCATTTTAAAAAAAATGTACACATTCTCAAACATTATTGATACTGTGCTATAATTAATACCATTTCTGGGCTTTTACGCTATATTATATTCATCTTGATCATGCAAAATTCTAAATATATCCTTTCATTTTAAATCTGTTTTTCTCTGCGCAACTCATCGAAAATATAAATCAAAAGTAAAATATTCCGACTAATATGAAATAATGTATAAATACAGTAGCGTATATCGCATACGAATTCTTTAGCTTGCATTTATCGCAATCTTACGTTAACCGTTTCTTCGTACAATAATGGACCGCGAAATCGAAAATAATGCTGATGATCAGGAGTCCAAACTCGTTGATACATTCAGAGGACTATGGATGAATGTTAACAACATGATCGGGAGTGGTAATTATTCAAAGAAAATCACACGACATGGTCTTTTTTTCCTTTTGTTTATCTTTTGTTATTTAGGAATATTTTCTACACCTGGTCATATTTGGTATTTAACTGGAAGCAGAGGAATGACTTTGCTATTATACGTTGTAGGGGCACTTTTTTCTTTAGTGGGGAGTCTAATATACGTCGAGGTATATCATGTTTTTTTTAAATTCGGTTTTTTATTTTTTAGCTTACGTATTTTTTCTTTATTTATTAGCTCGGCAGCAACATACCCGAATCTGGTATTTTAATTAATTCCTTAACGTGTATAACCATATCCATGGATATTTATTGTTATTATTATTTAAAAAAGGCGGCGAACAACGTTATCTAGAAAGATCATTTCCGAATCCCGATAAACGTGTAGGATATTGTCGTGGGCAAAAAAGTAGGCGCAGCAAGGTGACACGCCGCCGCGTCAAGTAATTAGTGTTGTTGTGAGGGAACGATGGGAATTTAGTGTGGGAGAATTTAAAGGTGGGAATTTCTAGAATAGCGTAGAATAACGATCAGATGTAAACGTGTAAACAATAGGCGCATGTATAAATACATGCGCAATTCAGTAGCATGTAAGGGGTATTTTTTCGAATTAGAGTTAGTTAAGAACACACTAACATTCAGACAATAAAGTTAAGTTTGCAAATAAACTCACCTTGTTTTCTTGTGTGCCGAAATACTTGTAACTCGTGCTACGCGACTAAGCTAGAGAACCGAAGTTTGCCTAAGGGAATTGGCATAGGAAGAGCTCTGTATTAGTCGATAGAGAGGTTAGAGTAAGACCGGCCAAATCGAAGACACGCCTCAAGAGTGAAAGGAGAAACTTACCTTATTGTTAATCGAACGAGACGACAAGTAGTGAGGGCTCGCCGGATAGCCACGACAATATATATTCAGCTTTTGTACTATTACGTGAGTATAACTCATTTTATCGTTCTTTTATACAACTTCTGCTCATGAAAATATGATTTTTAACAAATATATTTCACAGTTTTATAAATAGCGGAGCCATCATAACAGATGTAATTATTGCGTCAGAATACATAATTTATGCAAAGTCTAACGACACTACCACTTTATATCCTTATTTTGGGAAGTTCATTTAATTGCATTTTCTATCTTAACTATCATTACTTTATACCACATATTCTCGATCCAGCGTGCCTTGTTGATAAACCAAACATTGTCAATAATTAAGACTTTGACATTATTGATTATTTCCATAATCGGGTTAACGGAAATTCCAAAAAATCCCGGATATTTTGGTAATTACTGTAGCTCCATGTTTCAGGTCCTATTCGCCTATGAAGGATGGAACAATCTGTATTGTAAATTTTTTTACTAAAATTATTTCACGTTTGTGGAATTAATTAAATCGTACCAATATATTTTTTAAATTTATTTTATTAGATTCTTTGGGTAAATTAATGATGTCTCAAGGGGGCTAAAGTATTCAAATCTATTAAGTTTTATTGTAGTAAGCGTATTATGTATGAATCTGATATCTACTACTGATTTGCCCGATTGTATTTTTGTCAGTTACAGTATATCTAATTGTAATCTAAAATATAAAAATTTTTTTCAGATATACTTGGCATTCCTTCCTTCATTACAATAGTGGATCGCGATAAGGCCCACCGAGGCACTTATAAAGAGATCATAAGTGCAACATTAGGTGACGTAATTGATTTTAGACGCGGGATTTCGACTTTGGTTGCACTATCTTAAATTGGAGCTATTTCTTCGATGGTTTGGGGTGGTTCTAAGATTCTCCATACTAAAAGAATTTTTAAGTGTTCCTAGGGTTATCTTAAGAAAATTTCGAGTGGTTAACGTAGAAGACAGTCATCATGACGCTCCCATTAGTGCATTGATTCTTCAATGGCTATACTGCACTATAATCATTTTCTTCTTTCCACCAAGTCACCCTTATGAAATACTCTTAAACATGACTCAATCTTCGGTTTTCATATTTTATGGTCTCGATGCTTTGGGTTACTGGTAAGAGTTATTGTCATTGTTAAAGTTTAAACGTAATCCAATTACATCATAATAATCTAAAATTATTTTAAAAGGTCTTAATAGAAGAAGAATATCGTAACGGTTTATTTGAGGTTCCAATATATATAATTTATTTGTTTTTAGCAATAACAGTGATTATCTGTGCCGGAACTTTTGTGCCATCAAAATTAACGATTCATATTACTATATACGGTATCTGCTTTCTTTCGTCTTCATGGGCATCGGGTTAATATGTTGAACTTTTCAAAGATCAATTAGGGCTCGTAGATGAGGATTCAATATATTATAATATTGATTACATTGATTAAACATCTTCATTTTTATGTATACAGTATTCATTTTATTTACTTTATTAAACAATTTTAACTTAATAACTTGTTGTCTCCATGTTATTTGTTTATATATTATCTTTATTTGATTCAAGATCATTTGTTTGTAAACAAGTTATAAATAAATTTTGGTAAAATATGATGACTTGATACTGTAATTTGTTTTTGATAAATAAATAGGCAAATACGTTACTGCATATTGTACAATGGAGAGTTGAGGGTATCATCGGTAGTTGTTTAAATGATAAAGCAGCCGTTTTTGATCCTGATTTCGCGAAATGTAAAACTGCAACCAAAAATCTCAAGTTTTGAATCAATATTTTGATATGATTTTTTTGTTCGATTATCTGCGATATATTTATAAAGAAGCTCGTTACTTGATCTTCTTTTGGAATAAATATCAGGTCGATGGGATTTGTTCTGGTCTATATATGAGTGAAGTAAATACTGTATGCTGCGGATAGCGTGAGAAGGTAATAACAAGCTTTGAAATCGCGTAAACAGTCTATTTCTTGGTTACTATTATTATTATAGGATTGATAAAAAATAGATGATTTTTTCTTATGAGATAAAACACAAACCAAATTATATGCACATAGAATAACATTTAGTGTTTACATTTCGTGTAAAGATTTTTTTGATTTTGATTTTGACTTTAATATTTATATTATTTCTAAAATTGGTGTTTTAACAAACAATCTATAATTAATAAAGATTATTTACTATGTTTTAAATCATTTGAGTATTGAATTTTATAAATTTATATTGAATATTTAAAACAATATTTCATAAATAAAATTCTTACTATTAATAAATTAAATTTCAAAATTTTTATCATTAATTTATAATTATATTTCCTAGAGTAAGCAAACCTATGTTTTATAAGAAATTCATCTATATTAATTATTTTTTTTAAATTTTAATATAGTTATCCTATTATAATATATAATTTTAAATAAATATAAATTATTGGATTAAATGATGCAATTTTTATTTAATTTTGGTAAAAAATTTTATTGAATATAGAATTTGTAATTAGAAATATATTTATTTAATCGATCAATATTATATCAAATAGTAAAATTAAATGTTTCATATAAAAATATTATGACAAATCAATTATGAAATATAATTGTTTTTATTATATATTATTTATTTAAAGAAGCAAATAGCTATCATGCTTTATTTTATTATTATATTTTAAATTTATAATTATAAGATTATAATATTAATGACATAATATATATCTCTTTTTGCTAGAAATAGTTAAATTCAAGGCTTATATTCAGTTATTCTCTATACTTCTTGGTCTTATTTAAGAATCAGTTTTATATATCTGTATTAAACAGGTCTTATATTAAGATATTTTTTTGAAATAAATACTACAAGATTGATTTATTATTAAATTGAAATAAAACTTGATTAAGATTTTGCAAAAAATAACATTAAATATTAGAAAAGTAATTTCCAGATCTGCTAATTAAAAATAGATATCTATATGGTATATTTTATAACTTTTGATAATTATTATATAAACTGAATAATTATTACACTATAATATCTTTTCTGAAAGGTTAAATATTTACTAAATTAATATATGAACTAACTTTTTATAAAAAAAAAATTTAATTAATTATGCTATTAAATACTATATTAATTCCATTTAATAATCTTTATTTAAATTAAACTAATATCTTGTAATCTGACTTGTAAAGTATTAACTATTATGCTATAGATTTATAGTTCATATAATTATTTTAAAATTTATTAAAATTTATAATTTATATAAAATAATTTTTTTCAATTAAAATGGTGTCATTTATTTATTAAATTATAATATATATAAATCTTCCCAATCCAATTTACCTGTCTGTGACATTAAGTTTTAATTTTGATTTATAAAGATAATATATTGCTTATTTATTAATTAGAATTAATATCTAGTTTGTATAATAGAGTTATGGCTTGCTGATTATCTTTACAAAATATAATAATTATTTGTTTATTTAATTTATATAAATAAGTATATACGAAATAAAAAAAAAACTCTTTTCCATATTGTTATACTTGATTTTTGTTCAAGATTTTTAATACCCCTTGTCTGATTTTCACTAGCATTGATCCTTGAAATGTTAATTATTTTAGAATAGTCTTGTATTACAGATCTGTTACAACACCCTCAACATCTATTGTATCTATTATACCTTTACCATTTCTAGAACATTTCTATTTTATTTTATCTTTACTTTCTATATTATCTTTGCCAAAGTATTTATCTATGTAAATGCTACTATAGTTAAATATTCTAACAAAAATAGTATCTATACCTTAGCTTATATTTTTACTATAGCATATATTTATCCTGTACGAAAATATTATAACTTAAACATATATATAAAGGCCCCAATTTTACTTAGGAATTGACAGGAAAAAACATATATTTTATTGAATAAATAACTTGATCTTTACAAAATAAATCACTATTGCCTCTTTTGCCTGATCTCATACACATCAGAATTGTACTAATTTATATGCCTCTAGGAACTTTAGTATACCACATTGGCCCTGTCCATCTAAAGTACCTCCCTGCTACTAGTTCTCTGTTTTTATCTTTCTTCTGAGGTAGAAATAATATATAACAATACTATATTTGTATTTTAATTTCTCCATTTGATAACATTTTATATATGTGTTATCAAATCCTTTAATATAAACCATTTGTTTATATTTTTATGCCAACAAAGTTATATTGATTATCTATATAGTTAGCTTTTTTTTTTACAACAGTGACAATATACTAATATCAAAATATGTTCATATACTTTTTGTGTTACAGGAATATCACATGAAACTAAAATTAAAGCTACTTTCTTTATTTTTCCTTTTTTATTTTCAATAGTCAATTATAATATTATTTATTATTATAATTACATTAATTCATCAATAATTGATACAAGATAATAATTTATTTTATATAAGCTTGGCTCATTGAGACCTGGTAATATGCCAAGAATCTGCATATTTTTATGCTTAAATCAAATCACTTATAAAAAATTACTTTAGCACATGAACCAACTAAAGCATATATTGCATGGCAAATTGGTAATGGCTACATATATAACACCAGTATTATGCATTTGATTATCATATAATTGAAACCAATTATTATTCAATATTAATACTAAATACAAATTTGCTGTTTCTTTATTAAAAAATTATTTAGAATTTCTATTCTTAAAAGTTTTTCAAATATTGTTAACATAAATATCACATAACAATTTATTAGTGTTTAATCGATTTATCCAATACTAAAGATTAGATTCAAAATCTGAATTTTGATATATCTGAAATAATTGCTATTAAAAAGCTGTATAAGAAAAAATTAATTTTGGCTGGTTAATGCTTTTATTTAATAATTTAAACTGTATAGATAATAAAGTATTGGAAATTCTTCTTTGAATTGTTGAATTTAAAAATTCAACATACTGTAAATACACTTTATTATCAATAACTGATTGTTTTTTCTGAAACTTAATATATCATCTTGATTATATAATTTGTGATATTTTTAACATGCTACAAAATTAACAAATTGATTTAATAATCCAAGTAATTTTTTGGTCATGTATAATGATCTACAAAAAAGTTCAAATTTGCTGTTATCAATTTTAATTAATACTAATTTCATGAATTTTATAAGTGCTTCTTTTGTAATATCTGGCAAATTAAATCTTATTTTAAAGTTTATAATTTATAATAAAATCCATATAAAATGGCTATTAGCAAATTCATTAAAATGTAATAGAACTTTATAATTAATATTTCTAATTCTTTGCCAAATAGTAAATTCTTGATCTGCCAAGTTTTTAGTTTTTGTTTTTTTGATATCTATATAAAAACATTGGTTGTGGATTAACAAGTAATCCATTGTATTTATTACAATTGCAAATAACTTTCATTTTTTTAGATTTTTTTTTTTGAACTTTTACTAAGTAAAACTGAGATTAAATACTTCCTTGCTATTCAATTTACAAATATTAAACATAAAGTAACAAAAGTCATTATTTAACTTCAAATTGTCAAATGTTAACAAATCTTAATATAATATACAAATTTTAATATAATA